ACTTAGGCAGTCTCCTTGGCTGTGAAGCGGAGCCCCACGCTGAAAATGACAGAAGGGGAAAAGAAAAACAGACCCCTAATATTATGAAGCCACACCAGACTTCTTTTACATGGGAGAGAAACAAATTCTTGTTTTGGTTTAGCCCATTCTTGTATTTTCATTCTTTTTAATCCTTCTCTTAAGACATTACCCAATTCAGGACTCAAGTATGCCATTTCTCTGCCAGGGATGTCATATATCCACACATCAGCTGATGCCATGTTTGGGGACTTGCTCTGAGGGTCACCTTCTCTGATGGGCTATTGGATCAGCAGCCCATCTTAATCATTTCTTTCACCCACAGGTAGATCCAGGCAGTGCTGAAGGACAGGAAGCCCACACTTCCCTACCAAGAACATCACTGCTTGCCATTTCTAAAACTTCTAAGCTCACAGCATTTACCACTTTATGAACACACACACACACACACACACACACACACACACACACACACGATCCCTTGCTTCTAACAGCCAACTAGCTGGGCGCCTGCACAATCCTCAGGCTTACAAGGCGACAGGACTTGCGCAAGGTTACCTGGCTCCTGAGCGGCCAGGTGAAACCTCCAAAGCAGGCCTCGGGAGTCAGCAGCGTTTCCACCTTACCCCTGTGGAGACTGAACTATACTGTTCGTGAGGAAGGAAAGCGAGCCATACGCACACTCACCTGCAAGCCAGTGTGCACAAGCATGTGCACAAGTACACAGGTACTACACACACACACACACACACACACATGTGCGTGCACACATACACCCCTGGTGCACAGATGTGAGGGCTCCAGATGTTTCAGTGGCACTTGCATTTGAGGGTAGGAGTGATGGCAGAGAAGGGGCATGGGACAGGACCGTGCAGCTGGCGCATGCAGATGCTCTGAGATGCTGCTCAAGGACAGATCACTGCCAGCGAGCCAGCCCCGGGCTCTCGAGGAAGCAGGGAGGGCTGGGCACAGGCAGGGGGGTTCGCATGCTTCCAGAGACTGTGCCCGGCTCTCATCAGGACTGGTTATTTAGTGCATTCACCTCCCCCGGAGCGAGAACAGGACACTGTCAGGCTAAGAGACAGCAGCACACAGCATGTCCGTGGTAAACAATTTATTTTTCTACCTCAGTTGCTTACAGGGAAAAAAATAAAATGTCATTAGGGAGCAGTGCAGATGAACTATTTACAGAGCTGGAGAAGATTCACAATGGCCGATACGCTGGTGAGGCAAGGATACTGGGCCAAGTTCACCAAGGCAAAGCAGTTCACAGCAAACCAAAAAGAAGAGGGGAGGAGCCACACATAGGTTTTGAAAAAAAAAAAAAAAAGAAAAAGAAACTCATAAAAAAGCCTGTGGCAAAAAAAAAGGAAACTAACCACTTATTACATCCAGCATCTGTAACAAGAAGAACCAAACCGCATACGTGGGGTCTCAAGGACAATGATATTCAAATGTCTGGATCTGCTCACATCGGATGCCTCAGACGCAAGTACACGTGCAACATCTCACAAACCACGAGAACTGACAGAGGGGCGACTCTTGCAGGTCCACTGAGCCACAGGCCGTTAGCCAAGACAGGAGATATTTCAAAGAGGGAGGAGTTCAGCAATAAGGACAGAGATCCTTCTGGGGGTAGCACTGGGGCTGCCAGCCCTGGGGTGGGGCCGATCAGGATGGGCCCTCAGTACCCACTGGTGCCATTAAGGAAGACAAGGCCAGCACAGGCAGGGAGGTGAGGAAGCTGTCCAGGGAGGGGCCCAGCACAGGGCAAGGCCTGGGCAACTCCGCTGTCATTTGCAGAGGCAGATGTGTTTATTATGCCGAGGGGCACTAAGAGGCACTAAGAGGCTGGCCCCAAACAACAAAGGCAATCCAATAACGACTCTGTAGTCGTTCTTCCACATTACGCTTTTTCATAATTTTTCTAGAAGGGTCTAAGTGTGTGTTCACTTTTGTCATTGTCCACCACGGGTGCTCCTGAAGTCACATAGCTGCAACCCCTCTGGACCACCAGTACTTAAGTGCTGACCCCATGAGATACCCAACAAGCCTGGTTGATCATTATTTTAAAAACTTGATATTGTCTTCTTGGATTCCCCTGAGGAACCTCTATGAAGTTTGTGAGAAGCTCCCCTTGGCCTGGTGCACACAGGAAACAAAACAGGACGGAACTGGAGAATAATTTTTGTCTTAAATTGAGAGAGGCAATGAAGTCTTTTCCGAGAATTAAAACAGGAAAGGAATACTCATTCAAACAGGCAGCTAGGACAGGGCTTCTCAGTGGGCCTGGACATCAGCTGGGGGGGGGGCTGCATCCTCTCTAGAAATGGTGGCAAACCCCGATTTGCTATTGCCTCTCTTTAGAGCTAGTTGATAAAAATTATGTCTTGGGAAATCGGCAAATAGTCTGCAAAGTGAAATAAGAACAGAATTAACAGCTTAGCCTACATTCACAGTCCAGAGGGGGATCATGAGAGGAGGCTCACCACACCATTTCGGTCCCCCTTTCACACCTGGGCCAAGCTAGGTGCCTGGGCTGGGGACAAAGCAGTCATTCCCCAAATGGCTCTGACAGTTACCAAAGGTGTCCAGCTCCCATCTCAGAGCATCTCAGAGCACAGCCAAGTGCTGCTTGTCCCCATCATGTGGCCCTGAAGATCCGCCACAAGCCCACGGCACACAGGTGAGAATGTGACCTGGACCCTGGGAAGGTAGCCACAGAGTGAGGACATGCAGGTGCAAAGCAGGATGCTTTGGAAAGGGACTGGTTTGTGTCTCCATTCCCTGGCTGGCTTGGGAATGAATGCAGACCGGACAGACAGCTGGGCAGCTCCTGGGGGCCAGGTGTACTTCCATTTCCCTCAGCCAGCAAGAGAGGGGCTGGGATAGGGCATGGGACCCACACAGCGTAAAGGGGGCCGGGGTGGGAGGTGGGCACACAGTGAGGACATTGAGAAGGCCACAAAGAAACACATCAGGACAGTCAGGTGGTGACATGGCAGGCTGTGCCATTGTCACAAAGTCACAAGCTCCCTGGGGTGTGGGGTGATGTCAACAGGATCAATCAGATTGGGGTAAAGAGAAGGCAGAGGGTTGGGCTGCCCCAGCTCTGGGTACCCCTTTCTCCACACTGTCTTAGCCAGATCCACTGGAAACACTGCTTAGGGCCCAGGACAAGAGATGGATAGGGCCCCACCCTCATGGCCACGCTCCAGGAGGGCCATATCTAGTTCCCACAGGAACAGAATATCTGAGTCTTTGACTGGAATGACAAAGGGGCCCCCTGGGCTTTGGGTCTAGAACCACTAGGTGCTCGGAAAGCTGTCTGGGACAAACAGGAGAGCCAGTGCTCCACAAGGGGGCAGCACTTCCAGGGCGGAGGTCAGGAGTGCAAGGAACTTTGAGCCCAGCCTGGGTTCCTAGTAAACTCAGGCCACGCCTTTCTGCCCAAGTCACTCCCTTCACCACCCTGGGAGCAAGAGGCCTACTCTGTGGCTACTGGGGGCCTTTTTCTGACCATCAGTTAAGAGATGCCAAAGGCTCTCAGGGTGTGAGCGGGCAAGCAGAGGAGAGTGAACAGAATAGCCTCCCGGCCCCATCAGGGAGCTGCTGTCTGTCTACTTCAGCGCCAGACTTCTGTCCCATTCAGACCTAGTCAGTTGTGCTAAGCTGCAGGAGCTGGAGCCAGTGATAAACAGCTAATCGCTAGGCACAATCACACCACCTCCCGGTGCGCTTTCAGGAACAGACCAGCACCAGGGACCCCATCCCAGTCAGCTCAGTCTTGGCTGTCATTTGTCCAGACCTCTGTCTGGTGCAGATGCTGGGATGGAGCTCATAGAGACGCAGCTGTACCAGGTATCTTCTGAGCTGGCTCATGGGGTGCCCAGGGGCAGGCTCTCAGATGAGAAAGAGGTCTCAGCATGGGATCTACTTTGTTGTCCCCCAACTTATGCCACGCTAAACTCTCCCAACTGTGTCTTTGTGGGACCAGCACAACCCTCGGGGAAGTGGCGACCTGACAGAAGAGAGCTGGGCTGCTCCAAGCACACAGATCAGCACAGCATTCAGCAGGTTGAGACGCGCGAGCCTGAGGGGCTCTTGTAGATGGGGACTGGAGAACAGGGGTAGTGACCCAGCAGGGCCCTCTGGGGGGCAGTGTGCACATGCACAGCCAGGGACGCAACTCCACCCACAGCCCGAGAAGCAGAGAACCCCAGAAGACCAGACTCCACTCCCAATGCTTTCTCCAGACATCTTACTAGCCTTTCACTCACATATACAAGCACCTGGCATAGTTGCATCTGTACTCCAAAGCTGGGAAAGATAGGCTCACCTGTAGCTCCGTCCCTGCCCCCGCAGCAGTGTCCACCCAGGCTGCCCCTGCCTTGGAGGCTGGGCATCCCTGAGCACTGGACTTCAAGCCTCTGCCACCACACAAAAGGCAGAAGAATCCACACAGTCCCGTCCTGAATGGGCAGCCAACCCAAACCCCACCAGCAAACACCCCCATACAAGAGAAGGCCCCAAAGCTGGAGCAGCCGAGCGGAGCTAGAGGAGGAGAGGAGGAAAAGCAGGGAGGGCAGAGAAAAGTCAGATGTTGGAATGCAGATGCGGGGATCAAGAGACAAGCGACAGGGTGGCAGACGGGTGAAAGAACCCTACACTTAGCATTCAGTCCCCAGAAGGAAGAAACCTGAGATGGGCTCAGAAAAAGGTGAGCAGAGGGGTCTCCTGTTTCTGTCTGCTTCCCTTCTTGTGAAAAGCTGCTATTTTTAGATATCCAGGACCAGGAAAGACTAAGAATCAGAAAAGCTAGCTGCCTCCTGACACTGGCCTGACGGACGTGGAAGTCAGCATTCACTGGTCATCTCTTAAATGAAGGTGTCTGAGCTGAGTTCTCCCTCAGGGTCCTCCCTACTCCTCCCAAATACACCCCACTCCTGAGTCCTAGAACCCGAGGTGCCCGAGACACTCACCTGGGAACTGATAGCCATAACTGGGAGCGAATCCAGGGTAGCCCCGGCCATAGGTTGCCACAAAGTTGGGGTAGCCTTGAATACAGAGAGAAAGAAAGCCATTAGACAGCTGCCTCAGGTCTGGGGTGCAACCCGGGGAGGGTGGCAGCGATGAACAGCTGTAGTTACTTTCGCAGAAGGCTTTGTCTCCGGAGAAGGTCGTTACCCAGGGCCCGGGTCACCCCTCCTGTGGCTCGGGGCTGCTGCCAGCCCACTGGTAATTAACCCGTCTTTGGGCCACAGACCTCCCAAAGCCCATGCACTTTCTTGAACCTGCAGAGTAAATGCCACGCATGAGCACCAAACACAGGGCCTGTGCCTGGCTCTGACATTTGGAGAGCTTTACCCTGCATGTACTTTTCCTTAAAGCTGTTGACAGTAGGAGATTAAAGTCCTTGTAATGCCTCCTCCTGAGGCAGTGGACAAGAGGGCCAGCACCAGTCAAGGGCTGCGGTTTAGCGGCCACATTCAGGGCTGACCCTGTGCCCTGGAAAATGCCAGGCCTCTGAGCCATGGCCTGCAGGAGGCAGGGCTCAGGGCCTGTGGCTGGTATGCATGCTCCATAGCTGTGTCAATGTCTGGGACACGGAGCGGTGCAATGAAAATCTTGCTAAAGCACCTGGTGCCTATGGCAGCCTCTCCAGTCTGTTCCCAGCTGCTTGAAGCCCTCGCCATTCAGGTCCCTGCTTCTTGCTTCCGGCCACAGTGCAGGTCTGTGGAGCCTTCTTGGGCTAGAATTTCACTGGTCACAGATTCACCGCTACAACCTGCCCCTGTACCAAGGCTCGCTTTGCCTCCGTCCTCTTGGCACATGGCCACACTCTAGACATGCTCTGACCTCTGATCTGGATGTCTGTGGTGGTTTTGGGGGTTACCAGGAACATGAACTTCCTTCCTGTATGACTCTGCGGTGGCCCAGAATTTACTTTAATGTCAGCAGCAGAACCTTGTGTTGAGACACAGCCACAGTAGCTGGCCCCCTAACCAGGTCATTCCTGACCAGGCTGTTCCCCTGGCTGGGCCCAGGCCACTGAGCACTCAGCTCCCCTGCTTCTTACCTCCTCTGTGTCCTGTTCCCCTCTTCCTGTCACTTCCCAGCACTGCTCACGCTCCTCCCAGTTGTCTCCCTTGCTGCCCACAGCTGCCAGAGTCACTTTTGTTGCCTGTCTCCCAAAGGCTGATAGAAAATTACTCTGACAGGCGGGGTCAGGACAGTGCCCAGATTCTCCGGCCTCCTACACAGCCCTGGCTCCAGGATCTCGGCACAGACCTACCCAGGGATTCTCCCATGTCCCAACAGGTGCTCTCCAACCCTGCAAGCGAGGGCTAAAGGAAAAAGATCACCAACTAAATTCCACCTTGCTCCACTTTGTTGTCATGAGTCGGACTTTGCTGGCCTCCCTGCTGCCCACGGTACCTCTCCTTTCTAGGTGTCGTGGTTTCTGTGCTGGTCCTGCCCCTGACCCAGAACAGACACTCACGGGTCTCAAGGCCAGAAGACACGGCTCCCATTCTGTCTGTGGCTGAAGACCATGCCCTTGGGGATTACTACAATCTGAATGCAGTGCCCCCAATTCACGTACCAAAATCCTAACACCCAACGTGATGGTATGAGGAGGTGGGGCCTCTGGGCAGTGATCAGGACTTAAGAGAACCACAGAGAGAGCCTCATCCCTTCTAATTAGGGGGAACACTGAGGAATCTAAGAGGCACACATGCTCAGCAGATGTGGAACCTGCCAGAACTCTATTCCTGGACTTCTTAGTCTTCCAACACTGTAATAAATATATATATTTTCAGCAGCTGCTCAATCTGCAATTTCATGGCTCCAGGATGACCTAAGATAAAGGTCTTCTCTGTTCTCTTAGAGCATGAGTCCTGCTATCTGCAAAGAGACTCCCAGGTTCTGTGCTGCGAGGCAATGATGTGCCCATCCTCAGTGGAGATGTGCCCGTCCTCAGTGGAGACCAGCTGTGGCTCCTTCCCTGGCTCCAGCCAGAGCTTCCCCTAACGTGCAGTCACACTGATTGCCCAGTGAGCAGAGCCTGCTGCGCTTCCACAGGACCCTGCCATCTGTGCTGCCCCTGCGTGCTTAAGTCCCACCCCTGGGGTCTCCGTGGTAGAAGGCTGGCAGGTGACACAGAGCCATCCAGCAGCTTCTCACTGAGTGCTCTCCTAGGGGCAGGAGCCCATGGAAGCTCAGTTCAAGGACCCGAGGGGGAAAGATGGAGACCTCAGATGCCGTGAACGAACACACGCATGCCAGCTCCTTCCAAGGTATTTAATTCATGGCTGGGCAGCTCAAGTCTCCTGCAAATTAATCACCTGCTATCAAATCACAGCTTTCAGCGCTCGATTTCTTATACCATTACTTCAACAATATTGATAAACGGATTATATGCAAACAGCCAAACCACTGCTGCCTAGAGGCTTTTCTAATGAAAAATGGCTCCTCTGCTTCTAATTTGAGAGCTGAGGGTCTTAAATATTTTAGTGTTAATCTGACAGCGAAAGCATAAGCCCACATGTCACTTTTCCACGGTGTGGGGAAGGGACTGCAGATGGGCCAGTTATACTCAGACCGCTCTGAACATCTGATTACATATCTGCTTTCTTCCCGGCATATCTGGAAGTCTCTAACAAGAAAGGGGAAGAGTGCGGTTCATCTACCCAACTTTAGGCCCCACCTGCTTTTTTGGACAGGTCAATACCCTCATCTCTTCAAGGAGAAAGATGAAAATGTGGTATCTGTCTGAGTGGGGGATTGCATCTCCAGGCCCCCATCACTGAGCACCCTCTAGGTCAGGCAGATGAAATTATAAATTTATAATACAACATTACTTCAATTTTCCTCTTCATTTACTGCTATGCAGGCCAGCTCTGCTCCAACGGCTCACAGCCCCAGCCGCACGGGGGAAATTGGCTGGCTGCATATCAATAACACATTATAGCAGGCCCATGCGGGTGCGCCATCAAGCCACATTACAGTGGGATGACCTCGTCACTGCTTCCATGAGCAGCCGGGCCCCGCCCACACTGGCCACTGCACAATTTATTTGCTTCGGTACTCTGGATGCCTGATCAATCCTACAGTAATTATCTCTTGTCACTAAAGTAAAAAAAAATCAAGCCTTCTGCCTGGATGACCACCTTTCCTGCAGACTGGCTTTCTACTGCAGCAGCAAAACTCGGCCATCAGTAACAGAACCTGGATGTGCCAGTGAGCTCCTCTGGGGCCAGAACTGTGGCTCTAGAGCTTTCCTCCAGACCTCGAGATGCTTGCATTCTAGATGAGCTTGTGACTCAGCCTCTCCTGGGCTCTGTTACTCAGCTAAGCAGAGTCACAGAAAACTGCTCTCGCCAGGCCCCTGACTTTAGAGATAAGAGATAGGGTTGTTTACCCAAAGAACCACCAGAGTGTGACATATCTGCTGCATGACAGGCCAAGCACTGCCTCAGTATCATGTCAGCTTCATGAGCTCTGCAAGCAGAAGAAATACCAAGAGCCCCGAGCCCTTCCTATTTAAAGACTTAACAGCCAGAGTCTACTAGATGTTCAGGCCCAGAACCATGATGAGGGCTCCTCCAAGCTGATTTATGTTACAATTATATAAAAGGAAAAATGCATTTGTTTTTCTTTTTAGTACTAGGAATCGAACTCAGGACCTTGCCAGGCAGGCGCGTGTGCCACTGAACTATATCCCTGGGCTGAAATGCAGTTCTTTATTGGCACATACCATATCTCAAGTGCCCAGCAAATGCCACTTGTGGTTACCATGCTGACCTGCACAAACTTAGAACCTTCCTGCCATCTCAGAAAGTACTAACAGACTTCACTGCTTCCAAGGAAAATGAGCTGAATTCTCAGCTTCCTCTGTCCACTAGGAAATGGCTGAACAAATGGGATGCCTCCTTGGGAAAAACCTAAACAGAGCTTGGGGACAGACAAATCCCAGTAAGTCTAAAAGTGTGGCTGCAAGGTACCCCTGATCTCCTGCTGTCGGCAAATGCTGGCAGAATGTGGCTTTCCAGCCTGTTCTACAAGGATGTGCGTACATGTATGTACAATAGGTGTGTGTGTTTTTTTTCCTTAGTACTAGGAATTGAACCTGAGACTTCACACTGAGCAATACAGCCCTTTTTTTGGGACAGGGCCTTGCTTTGTAGTACAAGCTCTTCTTGAGCTCACTATGTAGCTCAGGCTGGCCTCAAACTCACAGCTATTTTCCTCCCTTAGCCTCCCGAGTGCTAGGATTATAGGCGTGTGCCACCATGCCCGGCAGCCTTTTTTTATTTTAAGACAGGATCTCATTAAGACACTAAGTTGACCAGGCTGGGCTTGAAATTCCAAGAACAGCCATGGTCTTGCAGAGTGTTGGAGTTACAGGCGTATGTCACCATGCCTAGCTGAAGATTTATTTATAATTTGCTTTTAATTCACAGGAGGTCATACTGGGAAACATACAGTCCAGATTTCATAGGAGCTTCTTGGTACAAGTGCTACAGTGCTAAAGCACGCACAAGACCCTGGGTTTGATCTTTGACACTGCAAAAAAGAATGCTTTTGGGTAAAAGCGGTGAGCAGGTCAAAAGTCCCTCTGTTTCTAGGCCTGCCAGACTGGAGCTCTTCTGCAAGGCCGTGGCAGTGTGCCCTTTCTCTACTAACTTGTTAAATAAATAGCACGAGCCCAAGGAAGCCCAGAGAGTTAAAGGCAGTGGGATTATGTGGCCGAGAGCGGAGAAGGTCAAGAGGAATCAAACCCATCAACAGTCATGTGTTTGCTTTTATTAAGTCCATTTTCATTAAGAGAAACTAGAAGATTTTGCCGTGTTGGATTGCACAACTGGGCACTCTGGCATTACACAGCTGTCTCAGGGATGCGAAAACAGCTTCTTCAAGGGGTGTGGCTGAGGTCTTCCCTGGATCAGAGGCAGGAGACAGGGCTTGGGTGTAACCCTTCTCTCCTCTACTCTCCCCTCCTTTAAGGTTTTTTCAATGAATTTTCATTGTCTGATTATTTTGATTCTATCAAAGGTTGTTAAAAGTTAAACCTTAAGCAGCAGAGGTCTTTTCCCAAAGGATGTTTGCAGCCTTGTCAAGAGACATCAGGAAGGAATAACTTTGCCCCTATACACTTATCAGCCTGCCCTTCAGGAGCCCTTCCAACATCTAGAGAAAATCTTGGAGGATATTAAAAAAATTAGTTCCACTGCACCCAAGTCAATTATAGGCTGGCAGGTTGGTGGTCTCAGGCTCCTCGCTAGAATGCCTGCTCCCTGCAATCAGAGGCTTTGTTCTTGGGGTCTAGAACAATACCTGTTGCTTAGTAGGTACTTATTAAGTATCTGTTGAATAGATGCATTTTAATGTTTTCATAGTTCAGTTTCATTTTTAAAAACCTCTGGACATGCTATCTATTTTTGTTTTTTCAAAAGTAAATCTGGGGGCCAGGGAGATGGCTCAGTAGAATAAGCACTTCCCTGGCAAGCTCAAGGGCCTGAGTTCAATCCCTGGTTCCACCAAAAAAAAAAAAAAAAAAAAAAAAAAAAAAAGTAAATGTGAAGTTACTAAATCATCATCCTATTCTATTCATTCATAAATTATTTTTAAAAAGAGTTCTCTGTGGCAGTCAAGTTCATCAGCCATATCGCAGGCAATGACAGCACCAGTTCCAGGTCTGGCAATGTAAAACACAGATCCTCATGGAAGTGCACAAAGCGTGGTGGGAGACACAGGCCTGGCTGAATTCATTCTTCGGAGGCTGTGCCTGCCCCATCCTTCCTCCCTAACCTCAGGACAAGCTGAGGCTGGCCTGATAGCTAAGCGGATTAAAGTGCCTGCCAAGGTTTGATCCCCAGTGTGCCATGCTGGTCTCGCCCATGGGGTGTGATGAGACAGTGATTGAGACTGGGTGTGGTGGTGTGCACCTGTAATCCCAGCACTAGGAAGGCTGAAAACAGGAGAATCACTATGTGTCCGATCTACGTAGTGAGACCTCATAGACCCTGTAGACACTGTCTTAAATACAGAAAGAAAAAGAAAATTAGTTGTTCACGACAAGCTGAGCTGAACTGTTTCCTGGTCAGGGACACATTTTGGGACCTTTCAGTAGACCCAGCTCAGCAGGCATTGGGACAGTTTTGCCACAGTGGCTAAAGAATTCAGGAGGCTTGGGACTGGCAGGGCCTGGAGTCAGAACAAGGATCTTCGTGAGGAGATGGTGACACAGGGATGACCCAGAGTCTTTGGGCTGGGGTGGAGGAGGTGGCTGCAGTTGCCACACACGTTACATCTGCGCATGACACTGGGTTCTTAGCCACGGCTGGGAAGGGACCACAAAGCTTAAGTGCTGGAAACCTTCCAGAATAGTAACTTGTCCCAAGCACCCCAATACTTTATTAATAACAGCTCCCAGTTTGAATACAAACTATGTATCTTGCTGATCAAAGGCACATTTATTTTTCACATTTAATATGTGGGTATGTGAGACTTAGCTTGCAGTCAACAAGATTTTTTCAAAAAGCAGCATGCAGATTAATTATAGCATATTTTTCTTTCTGAATGGTACATGAAGGTGTTTCTCACTTTCCATGGCATCTAGGATTTAGTGAAATTTCACCCTTGCCAGGCAAGGTATGGTTTCATTTATCCCCTGACAATTTCATAGATTGAGACTGTTGGGCCATATGTATTGGTGAAAGGAAATCAGACAGACCCAGCCTCTTGCTCTATCCTGCACGGCTGACGAGGGAGAAATCCTGATCTCCTGTTTCCACAGCCTGAGCTTGCTTCCTACAGCCTGCCCTGGTGAAGCTCTGCATGGGGCTGGGCTAACACTCTCTGATAGGAAGGCCCATGGTTTGCCCACCCTTTCATCCCAGCCAAATGCCACTTTGTAGGGAGGAGGGCCCACTTCCTGACTGGTCTCCACTTCTGATGTGGCCCTGGGACACCTAAGCCTTGATTAGGATGAACTAGGTGCCTGCACGGTAAACTCATGTGTGTCTCTCCCACTAGACCACAGGTTTGCTGCTGGTAGCTGCCCTGTTCCCTGAGCACTGTATTAGCCCTGTGCTTGGATAACCAGTCTAGGGCTGGGCTATGCAGTAGGCACTCAAGGCTCTCGGCTTTGAGTGCCCCTGCCTTGGTTCTCAGGTGGAAGGCCCTGGGGACCCAGCCTGGGAGTCTGTAGAGAGGTGACTGGAGTCCAGGATACTGGACATGGCTGTGCCTTTGTTCTTGGGCTTACTCCATCCTGCTGCTTCTCCTGGAAAAAGATCCAGTGCCTCTTAAGTCAGACTCTGCAAGGCAGCACTGCCTGAAAGTCTGGGTCTCAGAAAGGCCCCTATTTATGCCTTACAGCCTTTATATCCTTAAGAGTCCAGAAACCAGGCAGGCGGTTAAGGCACATTCTTTTTCTTTAGTTTGACCTCAACATTTGAAATTATGACTCCATTTGGAATTCTTTTTGATAGCTATCATCAGGTAATGACCAAATAAGAATTAATTTTTTAAAGCAAGAGCTAAGCAATTATCATGTAGCCACCATCAAATAATTCTCACTGGATTTAAGTATTTTAAAATGATAACTGCACTTACACAGAAATGTATTTATTTTAGGCTCTTTGTTTTTTCCCTACAAGGGCATATTCCCATATACATGTTCCTTGATGTATGATGGGGTTGTGATCCTATAAGCTTATCAGAAATTAAAAACGTCACTATGTTAAAGATGTATTAAGATACCTAAGCTGGCTTCGGGGCAACCGCTCAACTGCACAGTAACCTGCAGAGAATTAGTCATTTCCCTGCATGACAGGTGTTCACCGCTGCTGTTCCAGGACCTTCAGAGAGTGGGGCCATATATCCTTAACCCAGGACAGGGTCAAAATTCAAAAAAAACTGAAGCACAGTCTCTACTAAGTCCATATAACTTGCTTATCACCACAGAGTTAAAAAACATCTTGAGTCAAACCATCCAAATTGGGGACAGTCTTCTACACTATAGCATGTTGTTTTAATTATGGTAGCTTTGAGTTATGTTCTGGTATTTGGTCAAACTAGTGTTTTTTCATTTTTCTCTTTAAAAAGACTGACTTATTTATTCTCACATACTACTTCTTTCAGATAAGTTTTAGAACCTAGCTAATTGAAAAAAATATGATAGAATTTTTTTGGAAACTCTATTAAAAGTTAATTTTTGAATAATTATCATTGTGGCCATTTTTAATATTCTGAATGGCATTACTCTCCATTTTTTCTTTTTCTTTTCTTTTTTTTTTGTGGAACCAAGGATTGAACTCAGATCCTTGAGTTTGCCAGTCAAGCGCTTATCCTACTGAGCCATTTCCCCAGCCCCCTTACTCTCCATTTTTAAAAAGTTCCTCAAAGTAGCTTTACCTGTCTCTTGTTATTTTTATCAGACAAGTTGGTACATTTCTTTGTGAGCCCAAGAAAAGTTTTATAAATTTAAAACTAAGCCAAGAATGATTTAAACAGCAGCAAATCTGAAAAACACATAAAGAGCTTATCAAACACGAGGGACCCTTAGCCAAACCAAATGAAAACCCATTAAAACTAGACAGCTCATGTGCCTGAATGGAATTTTACCATTAACTACCATTTATCCCATTTAATTAGTATTTTCCCGACACACAATAACTTGCACTAAAATACCATTCTCTCGCCTTGAAATTTCTAATTATTGTTGCGACCCACACCATTACGCATCTCCCTCGCTTTCTCCATCTTTCATGCCATTTAAGCGGTGAGATTTTCAATTATCTACGCAGGATGGACAGAGATACCTTTAAGGAAAGGGGCATAATATGCAACTCAATTTCTCTAAAAGCCAGGAGAGATCATTTTTAGTCAGAACAAACACACTTTGTCTTTCATCTTTTTTTTTTTTTTTTTTTGCAAATAAAGAGTAAAACAGGCTATTTAAAACATCCATTTAAATGCAAATTTTGATATCCCAGGAGGAAAATGTTAATCATTTAAACAGACAGGATTATTGCCCACCCACTTTTTTCCTCTCCCAAGTTTTAGAAAATATAGCTGGATCCCACGCAAGTTAAGCCAGCTAGCAGCACTTAGATCTTAAGAACTTCTAGTTGGCCAAAAAAAGCGAGGGCTGGAGTTGACTCCTTTTGACAAGGGTAGAAAAAAACAGTATCAAGAATCCTGTAAACTATGTTGGGGCTGAGCTTATATATGTACCTTTGTCTAATCATCACAACTGTCTTACAAGAGGTAAGGATCATCTTCATTTATAGAGAAGGAAACCGAGGCTCACACAGGTAAACTGAGGCTCTGGAGTTTGCCTCATAGCAAGTGACCCAGGTAGGTGTGGAGGTCTCCGCAGTCTTCCCTTTCCACTGATGCCCTGGGGACCCATCACACTCACCCAGCATCCCCATGCCGAGCATGAACGCGTCCATGGTGTAAGGCAGCCCCCGGGCCCGGCCTCTTGTCCCAGGTGGGAACATGACTTCCTTCGGCTGAGCTTTCTTACATTCTACCTGTTAAACAGAAAGGCAAACAAATGAGATGCAAATGAATTCCACGTAAATGTCAAATGCAGAACTGATCCGGTTACGAGCCGAGTTATTTTTAGCCTTGCTCCTTACTCACTGTAAAAATAGCCGTGCCGAGTAAATGGCCTGCAAAATAAATATTTAAGAAAACACACCACTTGTGCAAATCCTACTTTGGAAAAACCTACAAGGATGAAATTAGGTTCTGGAAGGGCAGCAAGGACGCAAGTGAAAGATACACACACAGGCTGGAGCTCAGACAGAAGCCTGTGCAGGAAGCATGACAGTTCAGGAGCAAGGCGACAGCTGATGGATGTGCCCGTGAATAACAACAACGATAGCAATAATCATCATCCCTCATGATTGATTGGCCCTTTATACAAATTCCTGCAGGCTGGGGACTCCTCAGAGTGCACCGCGGGACGCACTGTCTTATAGAACAGGCCACTCAGTGTTCAGTCCATCTCACAGATAAGAAAATCAAGCGTCAGGAGGCACGGAGAGCGCTCCTGAAGCCTGGTCTCTAAAACCTCTAGCTTACCAATGCTGCCATTTCTGTGAAACCTACACCACATACTCCAGATGGAAACCACCGAGTCTGTTCATGAGCTGGGATACTGGTTTCTCATTTACACCTGCATCTTCAAGAGATCTCTAACCCCAGTGAGGTGTGGTGGCACACGCGTGTAATCCTAGCACTCTGGGACGACTGCAAGGGAAGGCCAGCCTTGGTTATTTAGTGAGACCTGGTGTCAAAACAACAAAATATTTTTATTTTAAAGAGAGACAAGCCTTGGGATGTAGCTCAGGGAAAATGACCTGGGTTCAATCCCCAGTGCTGAAAATAAAAGCTGCTAATCTTTCCAGTTTATCTTCTGTCTCTAAAATTTCTTAATCCAAATCCTTTTGCACACCTAGAGGTGCCCTGCTTGACCTTAACTACACAAAGTGCCAACCTTAGGAAATCATGCCGTGACCTGCTGCAGTTCTTACGTTGCTTTTATTCAGCACTTACGTGCTTTTACTTGAAGACAAACTGCACAAGCACTGGTAGCTGGTAATCAGTCCTGGTTCTGATGGGCTGTGGCAGGGTAAGGCATGGATGTGTGTAGCAGCAAGAAGAATCAAATTCCTTATGCGGCAAGGAGTCACAGGACACAGGGCACAGCACGGGAGCAGAGTTCCACTCAGCTCAGCAGCCGGAGGGATCACTGTGACAGGGAAGGCTGGTGCTGCTCACAGTGTGCCTATGATACTATGAGCCAGCTACCCTAGAAGGGCCGGTCACAAGCACATTGTTCAAAGGGGCCTTGTGTGGATTTGTGTCTCCCAAATACATCAATTAAAAATAGTTTAGTGATTAAGGGGACGCTTTATATAAAAAGTATCTCCCTTTCTTCAAAGGAAACCAGCTAGCAAGCATTCCTTTATTGGTTTGTTTTTATTTTTGAGCTAGGGACTCAGTATGTAGTTCAAACTATCCTTGAACTCTCTAGGTAGCCCAGGCTGGCCTTGAACTCAGGGCAATCCTCCTTGCCTCGAGCTTCTGAGTGCTGGGATGACAGGTGGGCACCACTGTGAACATGTGTTACTCTTGCTCTTTAATGAATGGCAACCACAAATGCCTTAAAAGACAGACAAAATGGTTTAACATTCCTGACTGGTATGCTTATAATAAACATTTTTATAGATTTCTGCAAAGAGAAGTGAGTAAAAGACGTGAAGAGGCAACTAATAAATGGCTAAAAAGTACCCCCTCTTTAGATTGGCAGTGATGAAAGGACTGTGTGATATCAAGATTCCTGCAGGTGAAGAAGGAAGGAAACTGAACATATTTTTTTTGCGGGGGGGGGGTGCTGGGGGAAAACTTGATAATCTATGGAAAGCCATAAACGTGTACATCCGAACAGGAATTTATACTGCAAGACCTATGTTCCCAGAAGCATTAATTGTAAACAAGACAACAAGCATGCCCGAAAAGTCTAAGAACAGGGAAGGGGTTAAGGCTAGTTTGGCTCAGCCACATCGACTAAATGCTACACAGCGACAGAAAACCAACCTAATGGTAACAGGTACAGGCTCTGGGAAACTACTCGGCCCCGGACAAACCATGACAGATGGTCACCTAACTGTAAGAGGTAAAAAACCAAATTACAGTGACTGTAGAAATGAAACAAGTGTACATAGCAAAGAAAGAAAATACCCTAAAAGAGCCATACCAGGGTTTTCTTAAAGTAGCTTTTAAAAAGTATTCCATCATGAATCCTGTTATTGTTTATCGTCTAAGTTTTCTGTGAGGAGCAGGCCACACGTCTTTATAAGGCAATGTAATAGGCTGTCCCCAACAGGGCTATTAGGGTATTATTGTTGCAAGTAGCAGGGAAAGGTGATTAAAAAGGAATAAATTCATCCAAATTGGGTCTTTTAGGTGTCTCTCCTAAGCCCAAGGGTGGCTGGCTCCTCAACTCCAGGGCCCCAGGCGACTCTGAGAGAAGCAGCTGAGAAATTCATTTGCATGAACCTGCTCCAGCAGGGGAAAATGGGCGTGCCCTGCACAGGCAGACAGATAATTACCTAAGTGACACCAGGATGGGGAATAATGCCGCTAACCAGCTCACTTCCTAATAGCCCTATCGGTGACAATCTATTGCATTGTCTTATGAAAACCTGCTGCCGGTTCCTAGGCAACATGATCAACGAAAATTTCAGGTTTATACAATTTTCATTTAGGGAACATAAAGGTTAACTGACTGTAATCGGGGTATTTTAAACAAACCCACCTACTCTTCCTCTCATGAACAAGGCTGGCAGCTCGGTTTATTTCTGCTCTGTCTCCGCTGGTGGCATTGTGGGCAGCTCTAACCACAAGAGTTCTGTCAACCACCTGCTGTGTCAACGGCGAGTGCTCCCCAAGGCCAGGGGCCGTGGCATACGCGTTCTCTGGGGGACCCCAGCCTGTCCTGGGCATTTGAGCGACAGGGAGAGGCAGTGGCGCAGCAGGGAGCCTGTCCTGTCTTGGCCTGTGCTGAAGGATTCTTGAAAGATTTCTTGGACCAGAAGGCCTGCCCACACAGCCCCCCTGCTCTGGAGACTCAGGCTACTAAATTCAACGATGCGAAGCAACTAGATGTGCCTGGCAAGTGCGAAGCTTTAGGGGACACTGTGATAAACAGGGTATATCTCTACCTCTGAGTGCTCATTCCTACAGAGAAAGAAGCAGCTCCTTGTGTCTTGTTTGCCAAAGATTAACACACCTAGTCACACAACAAATCACTGCTTGCCACTTCTGGGTTTGTCACTTCTGTAGTCCCTGGGGTTAGAGCACATGTGGGGCATCCTGCCCTGCTGGCCCATGCAAGCCAGCGAGCTTGGCATGATACCCAGGGGGTAGAAAGGGAACCCAAATGGGACACGCCAGCCTACCTCCTGGTGCTAGTCATGGATTTAGTCATCTGGTCACACCTCATGTTTCAAATCCCATCTGGTATGCAACAAGCCACCCCCAAACTTGGTGGCTTCCCACCAACTGCTGGGCGTTCTTCCTCACTGTGTGTGAGCTGAGTGGGCTCAGGTGGGCTCCCGCCTGTGGTCAGATGGCTGAAGCTGGAGCCACAGACAGCCCTGATTGGGCTGGAGGACCGGGACTGCTGCTGGGGGCGGCGCATCATGGCTCCTCCAGGGCATCTGTTTTCCTTGCAGCATGGTGGCTGAGTTCCAAAAGGGATGCCATTCCAGGTGACTCAGGTAGAGGCCGTAAGGCTTCTCCCAGTGTAGCCTGGGGGTTCACCACATTCTACAGGCCCAATGAGCCAGCCCAGATTTGGTGTCAGGGGATGGTGTCGAAGGGCACAAGCCCCAGGAGGCAGAGATCTACGGGCTTTCTCTGGAGCTGGCTACCACATGGCATCAGCGCAGGGTGCTGAGCAGACAGGGCCAGGAGGCATGTCTTGTACTGGGTGCCTGGCTGGCCGGGCTCTTTGGGCAGTGGGCACCGAGGGCTGCTCTCTCCCAGGGACAGAGGGCAGGACAGGGAGCGCCTTTCTCACTGCAAGCCCTCCCCATGGCCATTAGCCACAAAGCTTGAGGTGGCTGTCAGGGTGACCAGGCTCTTGCTCTAGCTGCTTCTGTGTCACTCTCTAAGACCCGCCCCCCATATGCTAAGTGCTCCCGGAGAAGGAGAAGTGCTCCCAGAATACTTTTCACAGGGCAGTTCTTGGGCACAGACATCTCCATGTCTGAGTCTCTACCATCAACTGCTTCTCACAACACCTGCCTCTGCCACTGCTTCCCAGACAGCAGCCTCATCGGAGGGCAAGAGACAGGGAGAATTCCGTGTGGACTGGCATCTGTGAGGTGCACAGAGGCTGCTGTGGCCAGCTGCTCATGCCAGAAACACAAAGCTTCCATTTCCACACACCACAGCTGGCAGAGCCACCAAACCACCCCACACCAGGGGCCAAATGCCAGCGAGGGGCCAACTGCCTCAGTGTCGCTGGGCCTCATGGTGATGGCTTTGAAATAGGGATGCAATGGAAACCCCTCGACCCCAGGGCAGCCAGGGCAGCCCCGTTCTCTTGTGGACACAAGCTCCAACGTAGGGTCACTGCGGCCTGCGCGTGCTGCTGTCGGCGTGGGGGTGGACTCTTTCTACCAGCATCCAAGCTAACTCAGTAAGAAGGTTTGTTATTTCTAACTTTTAGAAAAAATTCCAAGCATACAGAAAATCTGCAAAGATAACCTACCTGTCTGCCCCTCCCCCGGATTCATGCACTGCTACCATTTCATTACTTTGCCTTGTCATCTCTGTCCATATCTGTAGCTGTGTATATTTTCCCATGTGAGAGCAAGCTGCAACGTTTGCATTTCCTAAAAATGAGGGCATTTTCTTATGCCACCACAGCAACTGTCGACCTCAGGGCACTTAATGCTGATACAATCCTGTATCTACCTGCCACCTTCCTACGGTAGCCATGGACCAATACTGT